GACTTCAGAGTGCTGAAGAGAGCTTTGTACAGCGTGTTCCTGCCTGAGCATGCTAAAGCCACAAATGCTTCCATACATGACTGAAACACACTCCCTCTGGACACACAGTTAACCCCGTTTGCATTACATGGAAGCCATCATATGTGTTACAAGTGAGTGCTGCTTCTCTACATAAGGATAACCTTTAAACATAACCGTTTCTTTAATAAAAGAGGTAATACAGTTACACTTAATACAGGTGATTTATTTACAGAAAAAAACCCCATTTGAACAGTGCAAGCACTTTCTCAAAACTCATGCGCCGTTTATTTTGCAACATTCTCTGTGACTGTACTGTGATTGATTGCCTCTCACTGTACCTGCGAATTAACACTGTAATAATCAACTACTGTAAATATTTACTGTACTTACTCCTTATCATTATTGGATTGTCATCTATTTCATAGAAGCATTTCCCAGGATGCCACACACAGTGCAGATGCGTCTCTAGTGAGAAAAGTTTCTCACAATGATTCAAGCGCTGAAACTTCCAGTTTGGTTAAACAGGACCTCGTTGAGCTGCTTATAGAAGGTTATGTATATCTTTGAACATATAGTGACAGGCCAAGATTAGACCTTTGACTATATTTGTGCTGACTGAATGAAGTGTAGAGCTTTGCACTGCGAAGCAATTGCGCCGTTGCTTGGAGGCGCGTGATGTGGGAAGCGGCGCCCTCTTGCGGTAGAAATCAGGAATAGCAAACATTCTTGCAGTTCATCCTGTCTGATGCAGAAATATACACGATAATATTTCAGTTTTGGTTTCTATGCTTCTTTGGAAATACTAAAGAGTGTGTTTAGCGTAGAGAAGAAGAAATGCCCGCAGAACAGGTAGAGCACCTAACGTTTTTTTGGCTTGAGATTGGTGTTGTTTGAGTCGTGCTGAGTAAAAAAACTGTGGCCTGAAGCAAGTACTGTTTTAGGTGAAGACACAATGCAATGTGACTATTCGTACCAGCTGCAAAGATACTACAATTCATCCAACAATGTTTATTTGACTAAAGTAAAAATCTATAGCATATCCACAACAATGCTACAATATCATTATTTTAGGATGTATTTATTTGCATGGTTCTGATAATGACCAGCATTTTTTTCAGTTTATAAAAAATGTAGCATGATTTCACACTTCCATCATGTATTTTTGGCATAGTAGTCAAATTAATATCATTATAATTTTTTTCATTATGAAGGGATTCAATATTGTTTATTTAATTGGATACTTATTTTACTCAACATAGTTCATTTCATATATAGTTAATTTTTACTATCATCATTTAGGTTATTTTTATTAATATATTTGCGTAAACCTACACAGCCTTTGCAGAATAAGCATTATTTTAACAAATAGTCAAATATTTGCAGCTTGATGGCTGTTTTCCATACGTATGCGTATAGGTGTTAATGGTGTCTGTTGTTTTGAATGGCACCGACTGTCTGAACCATTCACATTTTTGTTTATGAATACTTTTGCTCATCCACTAATGGAACAGCTTTGTGAAGGCGGGTATAAGCTCCCTTTGTTAATGTAATGGCTAAGAATTAGGGTCAACACCAGAAGTGGCAATTCACTTCAATTCACGTCATACATACTGTGCACTGTATGGAGAGACTTGAGCAACTGGTTCCTGCTGGAAGTGAAAGAAACTTACACTGATATATAGTATGCCTTGATGTATTAAAAGGAAATTGAGGTCTATCATATTCCCAAACAGAAAATGAGTATTAAACATTTCATTGTTTTTTTTTTAACTTTGCTTTTCCCTCTAATAATTATTTTTTAATTTTCATTAGGCCATTAATTAAAATAATAATAATAATAATTTTTTCCCCCCCTCTCTTTGCAGATGTGGAGCTTGATCAGAAGGGAAGGGGGAAAGACCTAGGAATTATAGACTGCAGTCCCACTGTAAAGCTCTGGTGTAAAGTAGCTCTCCTAAAGTCACATCTCAGATTGCATTGTGTGCCTGAAGCTGTCTGCTGCTGCCCACGCCTCCATTTTATCCTAATGTGGGTGTAACTGATTCACCACTCAAGTAAAGCATGTGAGCAATGATTTGTTTATTGATAAGGTCTGTCTGTCTATGCAAGGTCCTATTTCATTATCAAACAGAAATGGCCATAGCAATTATGCTTAAGAACCTGGACAAGTGACAAAAGCAATGAATATGAAATGGTTGAAAATGAAGATGTACATATCTTTTAGAGTCATACGAACACAAAGGCCATGAATGTGTTGTTAATGTATTGTGTTGCATTGGGTGGAGCCTGTAAACATTAGGTTCCTCCATTTGAATCTCAGTCAGGCCATTTCCTGATAAATTACCTCACAGGGGACATGGAGGGCTACTTGTCACACAGATTTATTTCAGTACCTTTTGAGTCAAATGGCCAATTATTTACACAAATTATTGTCTTTACTAGAAGTGATTTTGCATATTGATTTCAAATGCTTAATTCAAAGCATCTTCTCCGAAAATTAAGTCACATTTCATTTGATTTCATAATAGCTCTTGGGTAAATAGCTGAATACAATACAAACACACTGACATACAAGAGTCAAGTATATAATGAAGATACATTTGATTTGAAGGCTTGAACTGTTTGCTCAGGACAAGGATATTTTTCATAAATGTCAGCTTACTCACTTTGTCACATGTTGTAATTTCATTATAAGTTGTAAAAAAAAATTATTTCATTATTGTATATTAGAGTAATGTTGTTTTGTTAAATGTTTAGTTCATAACTGTTACTGAAACAGGAAGTATCAACAGATCTTTTCTCACATATTATGACGTACAAGTGTAGCAGATAATCAAAAAAGGAAATAAAATGTAGAATAACAACTGTTTTCTCAAGGGAAAGGGACCCTTGTAAAACAACTCCCAGTGAATCCACTAACAAGGGAAGGAGGATGTGGTGCAGAATAATTGAGTTTTATATCACTGCAGAGTGTGAGCTCATTTTTGTGTGTTTCAGCGCTACTGTAATAAAACCAAGAAACTATAGCCTGAGAAAAGCAACAATAAAAAAAATCTGTACACCATGCACATAGCAAATACAGCCAGCATAACAAGCTGCAACAACATTAAAATGGTAATTGGATATGATGTACACTACTTGAAAAGTTTGGGGTCAGTACGATTTTTATTTTTGAAAGAAATGCATACTTTTATTCAGAAAGGATGCATTAAATAGATAAAAAGTGATCATTGTTACAAAAGAGTTCTATTTCAAATAAATGCTGCTCTTTTAAACTTTCTGTTCATCAAAGAATCATTTTTTCCCACAAAAAACATAAGCATAAAAGACTTCTTTCAAAAACGTAAAAAAATTTAACCAACCCCAAACGTTTGAAAGGTAGTATATGTGTAAAATATAAAAATGTTATAATATTATAATGTTGAAACAGGAAGTATCAACAGATCTTTTCTCACATATTATGACGTACAAGTGTAGCAGATAATCAAAAAAGGAAATAAAATGTATGGCTGGGACTTGGTTCTATGAATCAGACTGGATGGAGACAAATCTGAATGCCAACTTGCAGTCAATTGTAAGAAAGGGGCGGGGTTTAAGTGGACTAAATGATTGGAGAAATCTAGCATACATCACCAGAAAGAGGTCTGTCCTTTCACCAGGAAGATTAAGTTTATGTTATGGCATTTATGTTATGACATGACATTTTAATAAGATCTATTATATGCATTTTTCAAAAAAGTACATTTTAATTTTATGCTGACTTTAAGGTATGTGACTATACAGAAAAGGGGTATATGTCAAGCATCACCTGACCAAACTGGAAAAAAGGTCCCATCGCATTCGCTTGCCTGAGAAAGTGTTAAAAGTATGAACTGATGCCAGTATTTTTGGACTTTTAATGTAATCAGCTATTTTTATTGTTGGCCTTTTATCACATTTTAATATCCGAATGTTAGAAATAAAAATTAAAATAAAAACTTTTAGATATAATTCTGCATATGTGATGGACATCAGTTATGATGATCAACTTTGGTTTCTCCATTGAAGGCATCTTGAGTAAAACGTCTCCATATTTAACAAAGCGCATACAAAAGACCTGAACTGGAAGCGATGTGACCTGTTTTTTAAGAATACAGAAGTTTAATAAAGCACATAACCCCCATTGACATTTTAAGAGGATTTTTCACTGGAGCAAAAAGTGTGACGACTAGCCCCGGTCTTTCCTATTAACAGCAACATCAAGAACATATAGATTCCCTGTCCAGGGTGCTGAAAACACAGACAGGAAGGAGTATTTCCACAGTCACTGTCCAGAGTCTTGAAAACCCATCCTCGCTTTTCATAGATGTTGTATTTCAACACATTATATTCGATTCCCAATTGTGCCTCAAAATAAATTTCAAGGTGCATAAAGTGCCCTTTAATAATAATAATAATAAAACAATAATTTCTAACACTGCTCCAACATCACCTATTATTATTATTATTATTTCTAATATATATTTAAGACAAACACCCTCATAATTAATCGTCAATTATCTGAGGCTTTTCTTCAAAACCCCTTACAGCATCCCTATAATGTACAAGGACAGTCCCGAGGGAACAACCTGGGTTTAGGTGTGTTGCTCAAGGGCACCATGGTGACAGTTCAAGGATTGCAACCTGCAGAGTCTGAACCTACAACCTTTTAGTTACAAGCTCTTTAATCACTAGGCAGCACCACCCACTGTCAGTGATGTTCAATCGATGTCTTTTGCTTCCTTAAAATGAACACAAGCACATGCCAAATTCGTCTCTCCTCCCCATTCATCACTGTACGCATCTAAACAACCACATCTGTCCCGTGCGTACAGAACGTGCGCAACGGGGAAAACTCATGATGGGTCAGAAAAAATGACGAGGGAAAACACTGAGCGGATTACTAGGATTGGATGGCACGAGTGATGCAATCCCTGCATCCTCCGAAGCCCCAACCGGATCGCAGAGAATCTGGCCGGAGATTTAGACTCACCGAGTTTCATTTATGACAATTACTACCCTAACCGAGCAAGCACACTTTTAACAAGTGCCTCTTCGCTAGGATTCTTTTTCTCCACGCCCGTGGAATAGACTCTAAACATCATCAACATCAATGGAAGGAGCATGAAATCCTAATGCCAATCGTTGAACGAGCTTCTCAGTGATGTAAGTCAATCAGTCACACTTAGGCTATTACGAGCATTTATTTACGCATATTTAATCGTGATTTTAATAAAGCGTTGATTTGGTTTCTTTCATTTGTTGCGGTGCAGCTTTGCATTGCAGCTTTTGCATACGACCTTTGCTTTGAGGTGCACCCTGGAGAATTGCGTATCACTCATTTTCGCGTCTCGTTTTAAACTGAAACGCTCGGTTGCATCCTATATATCAAATACTTGATCGGTTTTCCATTCGTCTTGGATTTTTTGTTTTGCCGTGCAGAATCTACAGGGGATAATTTACAGTCGCATCCCTTCTCATCTTCACCATGAATTACCTGCGACGTCGACTATCGGACAGTAATTTCATGTCCAACTTGCCCAATGGCATGAGCGATGTACAGCGGCCCGATCCGCCGCAGCAGAGCCCAGCCCCGGTGCTTTCGCCGGGCTCTCAAGAGAGGCGTCAACCCCCCAGCCAGTCTACCGGCGCCGGCTTTTTTTCCTCCATTTCCAACGCCGTCAAACAGACCACCGCCGCCGCTGCCGCTACCTTTAACGAGGCCACCGAGAGAGGAATCGGCTCGAGCAATGCCAAGATCCTCCTGGTCCTTGATGACCAGCAGACAGACTGGTAAGACGCATGATCCAATGCATTTTGAATATATAACTTGGAGTTTATGAACAGATTATTCAAGTGTTTGTTTCACGTTTCAGGCTCGCACCTGACTTGTAGCTCGTGCTAATACAGGCCAAAAGGAGTCACTATCCAAATGTCGTGACTCATTAATCTATGGGCCTTTCTGGCACGCGCTCCCGTGTAGTTGTGGGTGTGCCCGCGCGTGTGTTTGTGCGCATTTCACTATGCAGTCTGGGCCAGTTAATGGAGAAGCAGTGAGACCCTATGGCCAAGTATATTACATTAGCTTTTGAGTCCAGATTAAAAGGTCCTGCGTTGCTGGGTTTAAGAGTAGACTGGTTATAGTGTTAACACAAAGTCTTTGAAAATGACAAGGTAATGAGGCACTTTTGGAGTTTTCCCAGGTGAAACTCTCTGGAGAACTTATAGGAACTATTTTCAGGATGGATCAAAATGTCCTATTGTGTACTCAAGGAATTATATGTATTTGAGAATATATTTAAAGAGCACATGAGGGCTAGTGACATTTCCTGGAATATTGAAATCAAAACAACACCAAAAAGTTAATTTCATATGCATTCAGATACTTTTTAGCGGAGGCAACATTCCATCCATCCATCAACTTATTTTATTTTGTGACTGAAAAAATATGACTTTGCATTCTGAGATGAAATTGTATGTCTCTGTGTAAAAGCAAATGATTTTAGGTTTTTTTCCAAGTATAACAGTAGCATATATATATATTTATATATTATTATGAAGTTTGCTGCACAAAAACACAGTTCCAGACATTGAAACAAAACTCCTCAGCCTCCCTTACACAAAGAATGCTTGATGAATATTTTAAATACATGACTTTCACACCATTTCACAGTTGCATAATCTAGTTTGGACACATTTTAAGTGTTTTTGTTAACTATGACTCACGAGTGCAAAAATGTTTTCTTTTTTATCTTTCTTTCTTCAGGGCAAAGGTGTTTAAAGGCAAAAAGGTTCATGGTGAATTTGACATTAAAGTAGAACAGGTGAGATTTTTTTATATTCTTCCAAACAACTCAACAGTGTGAATTAGATGTTAGATTTACCAAAACACATCAACTGGCTAGAGATTATTGTTATCACTTGTTATTGTTATATTGCAATTGCAATATTGAGCCTTTGTCATTTCTCCTGTGGCATTTGTTTGTGTTTTGAAAAGGGATGGGGCAATATATCAAAGCTGTCTCTAGTAATGAAATGCAAGATCTAATCGATTATAGACGAGGATAAAAAAAATATATTAATCTGTTATGTGAATGAATAATATCATTTAAAATAATTAGTCATGGACGAGACAGATTTGGTAGCAGCTTTACAATAATCCAGAAGTAATTTTGACTATAAGAAACATTTTGTTATTGAACAACTGCTTGAATTTATGTTTGGTTGGAGTTTTATATGTAATACTATTCATTAGTACACAATAATCTAGGGATTTAGGCAAGACTCTGGCAACACTCTGGAATACCAGACACAGGGATTCAAAACGCCTTTTGACAATTCCGCATTTGTGTTTTGAATTTTTTTAATAACAGTGTCAGACAAAAACCCTGTCTTAAAAGGAAATATGGATGGTATGCTTTAAAAAGCCATTTCTGTAGTTTTAACATAACCATACTGGCAACCCATCACAGGCCTCAGGTGCTGTTTTAGTATAAATGCTTTGACAGCATCACTTTACTGATCACATGCATTGATCCTTTCATTCCATCTGGTGATTTTCATTGATTTTCAAGGCTGAATTCTCTGAGGTTAATCTGGTGGCTCAAGCAACAGGAAGCTACAGTGTGGATATTGAGGCCATCCGCAATGGCAACAAAATCACAAAGTAGGTTTCACATCTTTCAGAATGTTTTTTTCTGAACTATTGCAAAGATAAAGCATTTAATTCAGTGTTTACTTTGTTGATTAATTCTGCAAACAATTATACAAATATGAAAAATGTATGAGAATAATTAATGCAATTAATGTATGTAATATTTAGAGCATCATTCAAGATGATTAATCAAAGAAAATAAATGTACTGTTTATACTACTGTATATCTGTACTGTGTAAATAGATAGATTTGCTTTAATTATAATTACTCATAATAATTACCAACATTTCTCTGGTCATTTAGGTGTTTCAAGCCAGATTTTGTGCTGGTGCGACAGCATGCTTTTAGCATGGCCAAGAATGGCGACCACAGGAACATTGTGATTGGACTTCAGTATGCTGGTCTGCCCAGTGTCAATTCCCTTCACTCTGTCTACAACTTCTGTGACAAACCATGGGTGGTGAGCACTGCATACATCAGTCCATATTAGCCAATTAGGGATGTTCTTAGGGTGTCCAAAATGGGATTAGTAATGCACTTTAAACATATTTCCATTATTTAAAAAAAATACACATTTTCGTATTCCCACAGTAAAGGAAAGTAGTGTTTTCCAGGCTCAGAAAATCATGGAAATGAATCAAATTGGTAACACTTTACATAAAGCCTTTATGTATTAATAATATACACTGTAGTAATGCATTATGACTTTTCATAAATAATTGTATCCAAAGTTAAAATGCATTATAATAGTTGAAGGTTTGTCTGTCTTTTGTTTTAATGCATTATACTTTCTAAAGGTGTAACAATGAATAGATGTGTATTTTGATGTATTATAATTGTAGTTACAATTATTCAATTTAGAAGCTCTAATTCAGGCTTTATGTTGCTCTTGTATAGAGAGAAATATATAAATCAAATAATTGACTTAAGTGAATAGTTTTTTTTGTCAATTCTTTTCAATGAATTAGGTCAAGCTGCTCCACAAATCAGACTAAATAAATAATTTCCCAAATGGTCTGAATCAAAATGATTTTTAACGATCTATCAAAATGATTTTTTTTTATCAACTGAAAAGGTCATGAAAAAAAAAATATTTGTCGAAAAGTCAAAAATAAAAAAATAAAAAATGTAGGCGGAATGTTTTTCCTCCTTTTTCAGTGTGTTCAAAGTTCTATTACTCAATACCAGTTTAAGAACAAACCTCAGAGTGTCACCTTTCAAAAGAGACCAAAAGCAAGCATATACTCCAAATGGTTCAAGAACAGCATGCAATTTACTTTGGGTATGCCTTTTTAGGCGTTTAAGGCAAATTTTACAGGAATTCTAAGGGGTTAACTATTGCTGCATAATAGTTGTCTCTATGTTTCTATGTTTATGTATGTATGTCTGTGTGTGGGTCGCCATGCATCTATCAGTTTGGTCAGTTGTCCAGATTGTACAAGCAGTTGGGTCCAGAGGAGTTCCCACTGATCGACCAGGTTTATTACCCCAACCACAAGGAGATGGTGAGTGTTTAACCATCTGTCCCTGTCCCTCTCCTGGCCCTCCTCACCAGTAAACCCTGAGCTATAGGGCTCTAGACGGTCCCACTGGACCCCACACAAAGCTCCCATCTGTGGCAGGGACAGCAGTGCCTGGATGCAGTAAACAGTAAAATATAAAAGACTCATGCATATTCAGTGCCCCAGTTCAGCATTGCTCCACTCAACTTAGCATAGTTATAGCCCTGTCTAGACTAGAAATTTCATAAACTCCAGACTAGTGTAATTGTGTGGTACATCACAGTTCTTATAGACATAGTTCAGGTTTTAATAGGAGGTGGAGGCTTGCCGCAGTGCCACCACCACCTCCTATTCCTCCACTGCAGGCATCTTCACACATAAATGATCCCAGACACACTCTTTGCCAGAATGTTTTTCTCTCTCACTGGCCTTTTTCTAAGATAAAGGACAGCAGACTCAGACGTAATTCAGTGGGCTCATTTTGTCCCTGAGCAGAAAGATTTTGCTCTCACATTTCAATTACTGCAGCAAGCATTATGAATAAGATGCCTATCAAGCACCACCGAGACTGCAAATACAACATGCTCTCCTATTAATAACCAATTCAAAGTAAAGCAACTTGTTGTTGGTGTCATTTTCTATTTAATAATTTATTCGGATAAGAAAAATATCATGCTAATATTGTGTATTAATATCTGCAATAAAACATGGCTGAGTAATGGCATGTACAGTATATAATTCTTTATTTATACACACACACACACACACATTCTTGCATATGTGGTTTACGGGGACTTTCCATTGGCGTAATGGTTTTTATACTGTACAAACTGTATTTTCTATTGCCCTACACCTAAACCTACCCCTCACAGAAAACTACTGGCAATTTTTTAATTTCATAAAACACTGTTTAGTATGTTTTTTAAGCCTTTTGTTTTATGGGGACACAGGAAGTGTCCTCATAAACCATATATACCAGAACACACACACACACACACACATGCTACTGTCAAACATTTTTAATGTTTTTGAAGGAAGTTTCTTATGCTTATACATTTATTTGATAAAAATACAGTAAAATGTATTGCAATTTGAAGTAACTGTTTTCTATTTTAATATATTTTAAAATGTAATTTATTCTTGTGCTGAATTTTCAGCAGCCATTACTCCAGTCTTTAGTGTCACATGATTTTTCAGAAATCATTCTAATATGCTGAGAAACATTTCTTATTATTATGAATCTTATGAAAACAGTTGTGTGGCTTAATATTTTTGTGGAAACTGTGAAAGCTTTTTTTCAGGATTCTTTGATGAATAGAAGGATCAAAAGAACAGCATTTATTTGAAATAGAAATGTAACATTATAAGTGTTATATTAATAATATTATATTATAATATGTTATATTATTGTTCTTTAAACAAATCTTCATATATCTCTCTTGTCTTCAGATCACTACACCTGGCTTTCCTGTGGTTGTGAAGATGGGTCATGCTCACTCTGGCATGGGAAAGGTATGACTGAAACCCTTTCTTAGACATTCCTGTCGATTGCTGGTTTTTTAAATATATGATAAAAATGTCATTCATTAAACTAATTAGAAATCCCAAACTATATATATTATTTTATGACTTGTATTGGTCTTTTTGTGATTACAGCTGTATCAGTGCAATTCAAATTCTCTGTACAGGTCAAAGTGGACAATCAATATGATTTCCAAGACATTGCTAGTGTTGTAGCTTTGACAAAGACGTATGCCACATCTGAGCCTTTTATTGACGCCAAGTATGACATCCGAATCCAGAAAATCGGTGACAATTACAAGGCCTACATGTAAGAGTCTAAAACCATAGCAGTGTTTTCATGTCAATACGACATGGATGGAATCTGTGCCTTTAACAATATCACTGGAACTGATTGTAAAACACTGTGCCATACCTGCTGTTGTGTTACTGGACAGGAGGACATCTATATCTGGCAACTGGAAGACCAACACAGGATCAGCCATGCTAGAGCAGGTGGCCATGTCTGACAGGTACACACATCTTACAGGATGTTCCTTCTACCATGACACAAGGCATATTATACAGTTCCTATAACATGACATTAGATAACCTTATTATATGTTTGCTCATCTAAAAATGACATATTTTGCATAATTTAGCATGTTATGTTTAATGCATATCATATATGCTAATAGGTTTTTTCCAAAACCTTGTGAGCCGCCTCAGTAGACAGCACTATCGGACATTACATGACACTCTTCCTCATAAAATACCTAATTTAAGACTAATTCTTAAACAGCATCACATTTTTTATTCAAGACGGTGGATGAAGTGAGAGAAATGTTGAATATAATAATAATAATATACTTATTTATTAAGTCATTAGTAATTCATTCAGAAAATTGCTGAAAATTGCATTGCTTTTTTGGAAATTGCGGTGCATTTCACATGATTTGCTGCCTAAGTAAAGTATGTCAAATCAGCCACTTAATGACGTTCAATTTTAGTTAGGATGCAGAGGGCAGCAAGGCAGCTCAATAGGTTTGGGAACAATTGTATTATCATTAGGGCTAAGATGTGGGGAAAAATTGTGATTGTGGTTTAAAATGCAAAAATTAAAAAGCTCCTTGTTTGCTCCTTGCTACGTAATTTGGTCAAAACAGTTGTGATTGTATATACAGTGGGTACGGAAAGTATTCAGACCCCCTTAACTTTTTCACTCTTTGTTATATTGCAGCCATTTGCTAAATTTATTAAATATGACTTAATTACATATATTTAATTAAGCCATATTGCTATTTTGGTTTTATTTCAATAAATTGTGCAGCCCTAATAATCTTAGTGATGTAAAAGTCATATACATATAAAAAACTTTTTTATTGATGATGGAATTGTTTTTCAGGAAAAGCCTACACTGAACAAGTAACATATTTTTCTTGAAATTGATTTATTTTTAAACGAGTTTAGTTTGCTAGAGGATTTTCAATCAAAACCTTTGGCTTGAAGATACCAAGCCAAATATTAATGTTTTTCACTGCAGTAATCCTGATTCCCTTGTTTACTCTGGGCAACAGTGTGGGTGGATTCTTTTATTGGACTGCATAAGGTCATCATTTGTGATTTTCCCTGCAGGTATCGTATGTGGGTGGACGTATGCTCTGAGGTTTTCGGAGGTCTTGATATATGCGCTGTAGAGGCATTGCATGGTAAAGATGGTCGAGATTACATCATAGAGGTAACAACATCTGCAAAAAGAGTCAGCTTTCAAAATAACTATAATAATAATAATATCCTTAATGCCCTGGGCAAACGCTCTGTGTGTGTGTCTATTAGGTGGTGGGCTGCTCAATGCCTCTCATAGGAGATCAGCAGGATGAGGACCGGGCTCTGATAGCTGATCTTGTTGTGGCTAAAATAAACCAGACCGTGCCACGCACTTCAGCTCCCACTCCAGTCCGTTCTCAGGTTAACACATTCGCTTTAAAACATCCTCATATATTCTCAACCCAGGCTCAGTGGAAAACGTGCCTGTGGTGACATTCCTGCAAAATTATATTATGTTACTTGTATGCTTCGTGTCACAAGTGAAATGTGAGTGCCTCTAAAAGCATGTTCAGCTTTATCTGCAACAGGTGAACATACATCTGGCAATGTTTTATTATGGTGTTGTTGTACGTAATGCAGCATTTTGGAAATGAAATGTCAGATGAGGGGTGCGCTATCGCATTTGAAAATAACAAAACAAACATGAGCTAAAAAAAATGCATTTGCTGAAACAACCATGCAATTTTAGCTTGCTTCTAGAAGTCTTTTAGCTCTTTTATGGTAACTCGTATGTCACGGGACTTGTGCCTGAGCGCTCTGCATTGCAAGTGCAATGCTATACCAGGTGAGCTGCTGAGCAATTTTACTATGTCAGAAAAGCCATACACGTGGAGCTGGTTATGTGATGCAAATGTCAAAATGTATTCGTTTACAAATCATGTTCTACAGCAAAAGGCTTTTTCTGCAAGGAACAGCACAAAAATAAGTATTTATGAATCAATAATCTGCCCCTGTAATCATTATTTGTATGAAAAGGAATAAAAGTTGTATATTCTCATGTGAGATGTTAAAAAATATTTGCTCTGTGCAAATTTGAATGGGCTGTTCAGTTTGAGCTAGCCTGTTGGCCACTCAAAATATTGCTACTGCTAACTGCTTGATAGCATATATGACCTAAAAACATGCATATAAAAACTGTAATTTCTGCTTATGCAACATTAAGCAGTGCAATACTGCTGAATAATACAGTAAAATGGTATAGTTTCCTCCCACCAGTCAGTATTTATTGTCAATTTGTTCAGCAGAAATATGCAAAACTTGTAGTCACAGCATGAGTCTGAGATCCTTTTTGATTGCAGTGCATAGATTGATATTCTCCATTATTCCCAAAGCTGTGATTGTAATGATTCATAGCCACACAGATGGGAGAGAATGAGAGTGAGAAATGCCTTTAATGCATAAGTTAAGGACATCATTTCTCATCACCTCTGCATCAAATCGCTTGGTTTAATTCCCTCCACATTTGTGCTAAACTGATTGCCTGAAGATTAATGACTGCACTTTTGTTGGCCTCAGCTATTTATTTATGTTTCTATAGTGATGATAAGCAATTTTTGAGATTACAGCTGTTTGGAAGTTTTTTAATGAAAGTGACTAAAGGCGTTTCTAAAAATACTAAAGCTTGCACTGAAATTTGTGTGTGCCAGCATTCTGTTTCTCTGTGTGGTTTGGTTTCTGATATACTCACCTTTTTATGTTTGTTGTGTATTTTAGGGCCCAGCTGTTTCACCTCAACCCATCTCTCAGTCTAGTGTCCCCCAGGCGCAACAGCGCCCTCCTCCACAGGGTAAGGGATTACACTGAAATAATGAAGCCAACCTTTTAGGCAGTGGGTTCAATAATGAAAATTCATTCATCATTTACTCACCTTCACATTCTGCATGACTTTCTAGCTTGTTGAACACATAATGAGATATTCTGAAGCACACATAATAAGATATTCTGAACAGTGCTTAAGCTGCAGTTTTACATACTATGAAAGTAAACTTGTGATTTTTACTGCCAAACTCCAAAATGGTCATTTTGTACCATAAAAGTGCACCATGAAAATAGTACATACAAAGACATCTTATGAAACCATACAATAGTTTTACAGGGGAATAAGTTAAAATATATGTCATTATTACTCATAATCTTCCACCCCATAGTTTTCAAATATGCTATATGACGACACATTGCAACAGGTTTGACACAGTTGATGCCGTATATTATATGGGGAACATTTTTAGCGAATAAAGTCTTAAGTTTTGATCTGTTCATCACACAAGTCTTGAAATATAGCTTCTGAATAGCTTAATGTACTTTTTGAAATTATTTAGGGCCTGTTCAACTGACGTCATCAGAGAAGGAATGCCATTCCAGAGGTGAAGGTAATTTTACAAGACTAGTAATGTGCTCTAACGAAGTAAATAGTTTTTTTTTGTTCATTTTCATTGCATGCAGACTTCAGTCAATCCTTTGTATTACATGCCAACACCAAAAGACATAGGCTGCTCAATATCCATTTTCACTGCCGATTATAGATTCTGCCTCTGTTATTCATTATTGCTTAGAAAGATACTCTGTTTGTGAGTTCCACAAAGTCATAGTTTTACAGCAACATCTCTGGGCATGACCAAAAGCGTAAATCTTATTGGTTGGCCAATGTTCTTTGTGGTGCGATGTAAAAGAGATTAGAATACTTCTCTGTAAAAAACAACAACAACTAAATTCTCATCGACAGCATGCAAGTGTTCATGTTGGTCTGAACTGATGTGTTAGCAGCTGTTGATTCAAATGAAAATGTTTTATCGCACCAAATTTCATGACAAGCTTCCTTGGTGTGAATGGCCTTTATGATAAAAATAACAAATTACTTTCACTGTATGCAAAACTGAGACTTTAGACATTCAAAGAAAGGTTTACAGGTTTGGAACGACATGAGGGTGAATAAATTAAGACAGATATTTCTAAATACCAATAGATCTATCGTTAACTGTATAAAATGGTTAATAGTTTGTGTTTAATATTTTGTGCTTATATTACAACCTGTTTACACAGTAAAAATGAGCTCTGTTTTTAGGAGGTCCACAACAAGTAGCTGCTAACACTACTGCTGCCCGTCAAGGAGCCCCACCACAGCAGCGTCCGTCTCCCCAGGGCCAGCCCCCTGCCCAAACCCAGTCTGTGACCAGTCCTAATGCTCAGAACCCCCCTGCCCAACAAACCCGGCCCAATCAACCCCCACAGCGACAGGCCAGTCAAGGGGCCGCAGGTCAGCAGAGGCCCGCTACGGCACAGGGTCCCGTCCGTGGCCCGGGTGGCTCTCCTCAGTCACCGAGGCCCCAGCAAGGTGGTCCCCAACAGCAGCCACAGAGGCCTCAAACTGGCGGCCAGGGTCCCAAACCAGCTGGTCAGCCTCAGCAGAGGCCTCAGCAGCCAAGACAAGGCCAGCCAACCAGGCAGCCCACCCAGGGTGGACCACAGCCAACCCAGGACGCCCCTCAACCAGCCCTGCAAACGCAGAGCAGTCCTCGCCCTCCTACCACTCAGCAACCACGGCCTACTGCACAGAGCCAGGGAGGTCTAGGAGGCCCAGGAGGTGCACGACCTCCCTTGCAACAGAAACCCACACCTCCACAGAAACCAAGTCCTGATCACCCAGCTCTGAGTGGATCGCCACAGCTTAAGTAAGATGTTTTTTGTCCTCTGTCATATTTGCTTGAAAATTGTAAGTGCAGTTGACTGGATGTGAAGGTTTTTATGATTCATAAGCATCTGGACATGTTTTTCCATTTATTGATGAAATTTCATCACCCACGCAAATGACTACACTAGATAGATGGTGGCCATTCTCCTCTGCTACATTGTAAAATTCTCAAATCGCATGACAAGTTGATGGCACTGATTGACAGTGACTGTGTGAATTAGGGTAAACCTATCAGGGTAAATGTTGTATAGGGTTGGTTATAAATACAGACCTCCCGATTTGATTTTGATTCACAAGCTCTGAATTTAATTCTATTCTATTCTCAAATAATGTGGGTATAATTTGTGTGGGTCTATTTTCTAACACTGTCATTCAAAGGTTTTGGGTCAGTTTTTAACAAGGATTTTGTAATGTTTTGTTTTAAAATGCTGATTTGATGCTCAAGAAACATTTTATTATTATTATCAATGTTAGGGCTGCACGATTAATCAAATTTGTAATCGCGATTACAATTACGGATGCCACAATCACGTAATCGTTCAAAGTGGCAATTAATCGTTCAAAGTCCACTTATGTTATTCTGTGTGCTTAAGATGTGTTTTTTTCCTTCTACAGGTTATCTTGAGGGTTTTTCCATTGTTTTAATTTAAGTTTTAGTATAACATTATAATACCATGCATATTTTTACTTTTTTTATTTAAAGAAGAAACCAATCCAATGTATAGTTTACATTTGAGGCTTAATACTATAGAAAATCAATAAAAGTTTTTCATTTAGTGTTTTCAGCTTGTTTATTTTCATCTAAAAATATGGCATGCAGTTGCTTCAAACAATGATATAAACATCATTCAATGTAAATTGTGATAATCGTAATTAATAATCGCAATTACAATTTCAAGGG